GTATTTTAATAACTGAGATTCTTCGCTTTTGTTCAGATGAGGAGAGGAGATGCAAGCAATTAATGGGCGATTGATACTGACCGTGACGTAGAGGTCGAAGCGGATGAGCGCGTATGCCGTCCAGCAGCAGCCGTTGAGGAAGCTCACCAGCGATAGGAGAAAGGGCATGTACTCAACGCTCTTGGTCTTGATCACTTTACCCTGCACAAAAAAATAAAATAATAATAATAAATCAGAAGTTCACACCTGGCCGCCAAATAGCAAACCACGACCACACGACCACCGCAGTTGAGGAAGCACAACAGCACAATGGACTCCACTGAACCTTACCTTTCATCTTCAAGTGACGGCTTTCACTAAAGACGAAGGACAACGAAAAAGGAACATGGGACACCTGTACTCGCTCTATCCAGGAACAATAGATTCCAAATCTATCACACCGAAAATAGACACAAGATTGAACCACTAACCGGCATACGTTTGTGATGAAAGGTATAACCCACCGTCGAACCACTAACCAGCATACGTTTTGCGATGAAATGTAACCGCCGACAAATTCCCTTGCGTTCCAGACCCGTCAACTTGGCACCACGCGAGTTTGGTGAGCGCAACTGAGGTTTGGTTTGTGGTTTGCTAATGCAATGCACAGTAAAGAAACAAGCTAATCCGATGCACAGTAAATAAACAACACCCTCTACCATGGAATTAATGAAAGCACCAGCTGAATAAGTAGGCAAAACGTAGACGCAAGTAAATACAGTAAGCCTTTTTGACGGAAATAATGGAGAAAACATGTACTGAATGATCAAAAGGTGTCCAGCAGGGAGGAATTTTACAAAGACAATTTGACTAAGCAGGGGCACGTTGTTTTGTACCGGGAGCAAATATTTTGACACATGATTCAGACTCTAAACGTGGACATTCAATGCAACTTTTAGGGATTACTAACGAAATTGGCTTTCCTATCTGTTCATCCAGTACAAATAAAACCCCGATGAGTCACACTAGGATGGATGCCCTGTGAAGGCTGCAAAATCCGTAACAGATCCACTCTGTCTAGATCATGCAACAAGTTCTAAAAGGTGATTGGAACTCTTGACCAGTTAGCAATCAATTAAAGCTAATAAGTTAGCATGTACACATGATCTTGAGAAGATGTCAATCCTCTCGCATGTTCCTAAAGTTCAAAATATAAACAGTGAAACACCTGAGCACACAGAACCAATCCAAACAGCCGTTAAGGGTAACATTAATTTCACTGGCAAGTAGGTCCACCAAATCCTTCCCCAGCCCACCAGTCAATGACCATCCACCAAATCCTTCCTCAGCCCACCAGTCAGTGACTATGCATACCAGATTAACCTATCAGGAATGCATCATACCAGCATGCATCGCCGCCGTCGTCGCCAACCAAATTAGGCATGCACGCCTCGGTCTCTCCCCACAGTAGTGTCAAAACTAGTAACGGCATGTTCACTTGCTACTTTCAGAACATGTTTTTCTCTCACAACAGCATAAGCTAAATTTTAGCATAAGCGAACAGGGCCGACGTCTATATCCATATAGATTAGATAACGATTTAAAATTAGCACAACCATCCACCGACACGTGGGTCCCAAAATTAAAACCATGCAGATAAACGCTTGCCTAATTATGGCAACCTGATCTACTCCACGACAGCAAACATTATCCACGCAATTAAGCAGTAAAATCAGACAGGCGCGTCGGATTCAAACCTACCACTGCGCAGCAAAAGGGGGAGACCGGATAGATGATGGATCACGTACCATGATGGTGAGTGGAGAGGCGTACATCATGGATCCGAAGATGACGCAGAGGATGCCGACGATCATGGAGCGCTTCTCGTGGGTGTGCGCGCCCAGGATCACACCGAGCACCACGGCGACTACGAACAGAATCTCCACGGCCAGGATTGCGAACGCCTTCTTCTGCAAGCGAGAATCAAGGCACAAAGGGATCAAGCTCAAAACCACAAAACCACCAGATCAGAGATCGAGGCCATGCATAGCACTCACGCGCTTCTTGCCGTCGGAGTAGATGAAGAAGATGGTGAGGTAGATGGCCTCGATGACGAGCCCGATGCCGTTGATGGTGACGACGAGGATGCTGTTGGGGTGCACGACGGGGATGCCGTAGAACACCCACAGCATGCAGTTGAGTAGCGTCGCCAGGTAGGGGTCCGGCTTGAACTCCTCCACGTCCCTGGCCTTCAAGATCCGCCAGAACGTCGGCCTGTACATACAGGCGAACACAAATGCCGCGCCGCCTCCCCAAATCAGTATTCAGTACGAACAAAACCCTAACCAAATTAAACCCCCACCAAGCTGAACGCGGAGAGAGATCGACGAGTGCTTACGCTGGGGAGAGGAAGAGACCGAAGGAGATGACATTGCCTGCAACCAAAGCGAGAAATTAACCACGCGTGAGCACCCGAGAGGCCGAGACCCAGCGAAATCGAACCAACCAAAACCCCAGCAGCCCGATCCAGAGTGAGTTCCAGACGGCGCCGATCGAACGAGCCAACAGCGTACCGATGATGCCGACGACGTTGCGGGCTGCGTCCGGGGAGATCATCTTCGGTCGCCGGGGGTGGGTGGTGGCTCGCGGCTGATGAGATGCGCGAGCTGCGGGCGGGGCTTTCGGAACCGGAGCCGGGGCTAGACGACGAGAGGCGACCACTGGGATTTGGAAGGTGGTTGCGGCTCTCGCGGCAAGCGGGTACGCCCGCACTTTATAGGCGTGAGGAGGGTCCGGGGCTGGCCAGGGCCGCCGCGCCGCAGCGGACCGCGAGTCCGCTCGCGCTGGCGGCGGCGCGTGTGTGCTTATCCGGATTCCGGATGGGGCCTGTGGTGCGGTTATTCCTCCGTGTTACCGTTGATCATATCATACGGCGTGGGGCAGAAGCTGGCGCGTGGGACCGGATGGGTGGAGGAGGGCCCATGTGGCAGTGGCTCCGAACGGTTTTGGGGTGCGTGGGTAAATGCGCATGCGCTGGAGCCTTGAGGATAGTTATTCAGACGTCGGGGTTTTTTGACATGTGGCGTGTAAAACCGTTGCAACCTACGACTTGATCGTCAAGAAGAATGAACCAGATGTTAATCTCGATTATTATTGTTACAAGTCACATTACATTTGCATTGGCGCATAAATGTTGTCATCCCCGGCCGTGATCTACTCTGTCGATGTCCCTACATCCTATCCTATTCCTATCAACGGTATAACGGCAGTAGTTTTATTAGGATAAACACTAGTACCAATAACAATAAGACCCCGTTTGGCAGGGCTTTTCCACCGGTTTCAGAAGTCGTTTGGAGCCGTTTTCTGCCAAACGGGGTAAAGTGAAATAACTTCACTGGTGAAGCCCCTAAAAACATGCTCTCACAGTGATTTGGGGTGGGATGGAGAAAAAAAAATGGCTTCTCCCGGCTCCTCCTCCAGGCCCCTAAAAACATGCTCTCACAGGGAAGCCATTTTGCCAAATGGTTTACCAAAACCGCTTCAGCTCCACTGGTGGAGCTATTCTTAGAGCTGAAGCAAAAAAAAAAAAATGGCTTCACAAGTGAAGTGAAGCTCTGCCCAACGGGGCCTAAATCATTTTATCTTATCTTATCCATCAAAGACTCGCTCTGAGCCCCAGTAAATCTTTCCTAGCTGGCTTTGTGTAGTACTAATCCGGCATGTTCTATCTTTCTTATCACGGCAATAAATTTGTTACCATCAAGCATCAATGCCAAAATCCTGTAGTGTCTTGTGTGAGGAGTCAAATCCTAATTTGAACCCCTGGATCCAGATAGACCTATTCACACGCCGAGGTAGCAAGTTTGAGTTGCGACCGCGTACGTGTGACGTGTGAGCATGCAGCCGTTGGGATTATTCTTGATCAGCAATCCCATTATCTAATGTTATCTTTTTGATATATCTGTCTGCGAGACTACCAAAATAGGCTACACATCTTAACTGTTTTCCAGTTTTCCTGCCACTTTTACTTCCGGAACAATCCTTCTGTTCTCCGGTAACCAATCCATCGTCATCCGTAACGTAACGAATAGCTTGCTCGTTTTTGGCGAGGTTGGGCTAGTTCTAGCTAGACCGGTCCAGACAGCCTGTTTCGCTCAGCCCGGCAGCCTGGCCCAACATTCAGAGCCAAGCTAGATGTTGGATGACAAAAAGCTTGACAATTTCTGTCGCTGAAACCGGCTGAAAACTCCTCGGCGTCGATGGTTTCAGCAGGGTCGAATTAAACCAGAAGCTGGTCGTCTTCAAACTGTCTCAGCCGTCATTGGTTACGAGGGGATACAAGCAAAACACGAGGCGGACACCGATCACCCCAATGCGATTGGCATGTCGCTGAGTATCGTTTCTGCAGCTACACGCTATTGGCGTGAAGAAGCCATGCTGTGTGATGCAGCACGGCACATGCATTTTTATTTTTTCTGGAAGACACATGCACGGCAGAGCTGTTTCCAAACCCTTACAAACTGATTCATCGTAGGCCATTGAATAGCAGAATCTATCGTTCAAGCCGATCAGATCTTTAAGCAGTTCCAGGTCAATCAGCCAGCAAAGGCGTCAAACAATTTCCCTTTCGCCAATCAAAATCCCCCGAGGGTTTAACAGTTAACAGCTGCTCGTACAGCAATATAAATAATGCAATATAACGAGTTAACAACATTGCTAAGCTACGAAATCATGGTGTATATGCCCAGGTGGTTTCAAACGGGGAATTGGCAACTTCTACATTCTTTAACCACCACAACAGTGGCTTCTACGATGGCGGTATCGTCCTGGAACAATTAACCAAGTCATAAATCCTTTTCCCTGCTGCTGCCCCAAGCATTTGTACATTGCACAGATAGCAGCGTAAACATTTCAAATTCCAACATTCAATTCATATGCCATTCTGGTTCTGCCCCTTGATATTTCTAACCGTATGAGTTTGACCCAAGCCTTTTCCAACAAGTGGATGCAGTTCTCACTTCTCAGCTCTTTTCGGATTGTTGTATCCTCCGTCTTTTTGGAGGTGGTGTCATGAAGAGCTTTCTAACAGAAGTAAGAGGGTCATCCTCCTGAATCATAGAAAACCAACTGTGAGGTTGCGTTCTAGAGATACAAGGCATGATTCAATGAAAGCGCCTACCTCATCGAGAAGGCTGGTCTGAACCTCCACTTGCAAGTCCCCATCTGATCTTTTGTCCTGAGTAAGTAATGCTGAGAGAGTCAACCTACATCCAGGCAAGGGTTCGCCGTAATCAGGGGAAATCCAAGGGCAGAATGTCCTGTGCTGCTTGATAGGATCAAACTCATTCATTCTGTCATACAGTCCTTGTTTTTCTGTCACAGAAAGCATAAATTCACAGTTAGGGTTTAAGGAGAGCTAACTGTGATGGACACTAAGGACAACGACAAAGAATTTAAAGCATATTACTCGACTAGACTAACAAATAAGAAACACAAAAAAGAATGAGAAACATAGTATGCTCGCATAGTCTTCAGTCTACAGTAGTGAGATAGATAATTTTTTGCTGCCACGAGATAAAAAGAAAACTCAGCACTGTTGTAGCAGCACATTTTGTGCTAAACAGCTATTACTTTGAATGTGCTAATTATAGCCTTATTACAGCATCATGAAAGTTGGGTGAATAGACAGATAACAAGCTACTTCAATCCTTTCAACTGTAACAACTACACAGAAATGAGTTCTTTACCTGGAGGTCTGTACACACCTTTTTCCCTGTTGACTAATGATTCTGTGATTGCTACCTCAGTTGGCCTGGAATTGTTTGCATGCGTCTCTGTTAGGGTCACTCCATTAGAAGGTTCTTCACTCGTACCCTGAACTGAGCAAAATCTAGGTTCCAATCCATGTTGATCAACAGCCGCATCTGTTCTTGTTATACTTTTTCTTGAAGGAGAACCTGTTTCTGGTTGTTCTACATTGGAAGCTTCATCCAATTTGGTATCCTTATCTGTATTGGAATGTGAACCACCTTGTTTCTGTTCAGTGCTCACTACCAAGTTTGGTATGCTCTTTTCAGAATTTTCTCCTGGCTGGTCATGCTTTGCCCTTATGGTGGATGTATCAACATCATCGGTATCACCTTCCAACAAATGAGGTTGATCTGTGCTTCTTTTACGTTTCATGGAACCTGAAGCGTCCGAAGCAACAGGAACCATGTGGCTATCACTTCCGGAGGAAAGCAAATTCACACGAGAGTTCAAGTCAGCTTTCAAATGTCGACTAACGACAGGAAATGAAACTTTTGGTCGGAAACTTTGTCTAGTTGGTGGAGGACCCCCAGCAATGGTGAAATTAAAACCAATGTTGGCATCCTTTGAATGACCTACTCCACCGACTACGTTGGCATGCCCATTATCCTGGTCATCTTGTCTATTAGAATCTGAAATCAGCTTAAAGAGTTGAAGAGGTCGTTGTACAAGAGAAAAGGGCCACAAGGCAACACATGCACCACAAAATTGGCAATCTAAAACAACTGATAATGGATCATAATGCTGATCTTCATGATTAACATCAGCAGATGGTCGAGCACCATTAGCATCATCAGGTGAGTAAAGTATGACCCGATCCTCCATTGTCTTACTTGATTGCTCTGGTTGAGCCAATTTAGAGGTAGAGTTTGTATCTGAATGAAACTCAGTTCCACAGTCAATAGCATAAGGAAGTAGGCGGGGTTCCCATCCACACAAACTTATTATCTTAAGTGCCTGCTACAAAGTTAAGTGTTAAATTGGAAAGATAGATGGATGATTTGATGCAGGAATGCACAGTGAAATTACAAAAAGAAAAGGCAATATATTGTAAAGGAACAAAGCATATCTTCATGTACTAATATGGAATGTCGATCCAGATACAAGGATCTAATTCCAATGAACACAGCAAAGAAGCTTCCTACAGACATAATCAAGTTCTTAAAGATAAGTTGGACTCACTATCTTTGACTATTTCATTTAGAACTTAACAAATATCATATTGCCATTACTATTTTGAAGCAAAACCAGATATTTATAGGTCGAAATTTGCTTCATGAGAGTATTGTTAAACTTCCCTAATAGCACAATATTATTTTAAATCAGACCTACAGCCAACAAGAAGAAAAGAACTGTGAAACATATTTCACTGCATACAGCACAGAAGGTTTTAACATGATAGCCATTAATAGGTTTTAACTAAGCACGGTTTATTCAGTTAGGGTACTACCGCAAGTCCACAACAGAAAGTTGCATATGAACATTGTCCGTGGTTAATATCAGATACTTATATCACCAGGATAAGTCATATGATTCAGCATATGGTTCCCGTGAACATATCAAGAAAAATCTCACAGCAAGTCAGCAACTCCACAAATAGATGAAGAGAATTACCTGATAATATGTGTCAGCATCTTGAAAAGCACCATCCAAATCCTTAATTGTAGAGTCCTCAGTAAGCATAAATCCCCCTTTGAGAACAACTGATGAAGAGAATGGTTCTGATAGGAACTGCTCTAGCTGTGGACTCCTCTTTTTCATGGTCTCAAGAGAAGAGCAGGAAATTCTTGGGAGTGCTAAAAGTCGCAGCAGAGAGGACAAAAGCTCATAGTAGTTCCCAACTAAAACAGGAGGAGGTGTTGGTGGAAATAAAGCAAGTGATTCATCACATATGTTATCAATCCACGGGCACAGTAGTTTATGCCCAGTGTCCAGCTTCAGGCTGAAAACAGCAGCAGCCTTTTCAACTGCACAAAACACAGCTCTCAATAAATAAAAATAAACTATAGACAGGAATACCACATCAAGCAGGTAAATGAAGCCTAGACGCTCTCTTACAGATAAAGATGGGGTGTTTTATAATCGTTCATAAATCATCACTACACAGAAGTTATGTCTAATTTATACCCAACAACAAGAAGAGCACATAAAAATATTGTCTTCTTCAATCATAGACTCATCGTTTGAGATGAAATGCACAGGTTAACATAGTATAAAATGCAGACCTTGCTGTGTTGTCCACGAGGAAGGAGTGGAGAACAGGAGTCGTGCCCCACAAGCTTCACATGTTATAACATCCGGCTCAATGTTAGTCCATCCTCTTCTTGCGCAGTTAACAGGACTAATAACCTGAAGAAAGCGAGTAGTTATCAACCACCACTACAAACCGCACATACTTCACCTGAATGCACAATCACCAGTTCTCAACTAAACCATAAAAATAATCAGTGGCAACAAAAATTTGAAAAACCAATACCGCGATTAAATTTTCAACATGGTTACAGCTTAAATTTTCACAACTACAAGGCAAGCATGTCCCCCCGTAGCTTCGCCACTGTTGATACATCATCACGAACTCGACCATCCACAATTCTAGAACTACCAGACAGGGGCGGAACTATAGATAGCAGCAAAAAAAAAAAAAAAAGCGATTTTGATCAAAATTTCACCATATACACCCATGGTAAAAATCTATGCACTCACAAGGCAAGCGCACCCCCCTCAAATTCGCTCTAGCTCCACCCTGCTACCAGACTTTCAATTGCATTTTAACGTGCTTTAACCAAAAACTACATTCAGTACCCCAAACATTCTCCACAGAGGACTTAAAAAATTTCTCAAAATCAATGGCCAGTGCCCACCTGAATGCTACCAATCCAACAAGCAACATTATAAGGGTAAAAGTGTGTAAGTAAAATGTAGGCATGCCTAAAATGTACCTTGGGCTTGGCGAACCAGGTCATGGCCTTGAATGACCCGAGCCGACGCATGAGGTCGGCGCGGTCCCAGGGGCGGCACGGCGGTGGTGGCGAGATCGCTGACATGGCCGACACCTGAGGCGGGAGCCGCGACCCGCGCACCACCCCGAGCCTTCTCGCCGCCTCCGCCGCTGCTTTCCCCACCGCTCTCCCGGAGCTGCCGCGTCAGATCAGATCAAGCGCACGTCAAATCAAAGCGCAAAATAAATAAGAGAGAGAGAAGCACACAAGAGGCGCGAGCAAAAAATATTAGGGCAGAACCTTGGAGCCGAGGCCGACGAAGAGGGCTTAGAGCCGCCGGTGCTACTCGACTTAGGCTTGGGGAAGTGGTAGAGCTTGTCCATGGCCTTCTTGAGGCGCCGCTCCGAGTCGGCGCTGATGTCCCCACCTCCGCCTCCGCCGGCGGCCATAGAGGTGGCGCGGGGCGGGGGATCGGCGGGGGAGACGGCGATGGGGGTGGCGATGCGTGCTTCCAAGCTGCTGCAGCTGAATGCTGCCTGGTGCCTGACATTACACGCAGGAGGGGGTACACGGGAAGAGGGCCGCATCCGGGCCAGACGAACGGTGACGTACCACCTGGTCTTGGGCTCTGAAGTTGTTGGGCCCTTTTCGCGTCGTAATTTTAGTTGGGCTTTGTGTTCCCACTGCTTGCGTGGACACGCTTTCTCCAACTATAGTTTAAGAAATTTTGCTAAAAAAAAATAGTTTGAGAAATGAGACTCGAGACATGTGTTTTAGGTTCGTTGGTTCCCCAGCTGGCTTCCCCTATTTCCCCGTTCACTACACAAACTTAGCCACATTTACACACCAAACCAAGTGTTGGTCTACGAATGTTACTGTTTAAACATGTATATCAAAATTGTACTTGTAGACATCAATATTTTAAATCCTACAAGAAAGATGTATTCTTATGTCCTTGTAAACACAACCTTTGCCACTGATGTTGTTGATCAACTAGAAATGCCAACAATACAAAGGAGGATATCGAGAAGGTGGTGGTCATGACGAGGTCCTTGACATAGCATCATAGTATCTTAGGATGATGAGATGACACGTGCAAGGAAGGGCAGAAGACATGTGATGTACGTGGAGGATGTTATAGGCCTCAATATACAATAACATCAAAATCTTTATTTATGGAACGACGGTGGTGCAACCAACCGTGTATTAGTTTTCTAGGCAAATTGTTCATCATGACACATCCTCACTGAAAGTACATCTGGGCCCGAGCCCCCAAGTGAGTTTTAGTGGATTGAACAACAAACATAATTAAGGAACTAACATATTTGAATGAAATCATGTGCGGTTGTTTAGTCTATTTATTATTTGTCGGCGCAGAAAGTGATAAACAAGTAAATATTTGTAGTTTTGCCGTACGTTGTGATCGGATGTGGCCGAGCACTCAATGACACAGGGTTTATACTGGTTCAGGCAACGTGCCCTATGTCCAGTTTAAGTCGGTCGATGACTTTATTCCTGAGCCTAGGTGCTCAAAGTTTGCAGTGGGGTTACAAACGAGAAGGAGAAAGATGGGATTACAAGAGGTCCGGTCGGACTCCGGTCGGAAGGGCCGAGAGTGACAAGAGCTCCGCTATGAGCTAAGTGTTCGAGCGTGTGCTCGTGGTTTGAACCTGGTGGTTCTGCTGTTGTGTGCTAGTGAATTTGATCGATCTAATAAATCTGTAATGACTTGAATCTCTCTCTATGTTGGGAGAGAGTGCATCCCCTTTTATAGATGAAGGGGATGGCCTTACAAGTGAGAGGGAGAGAGTACGTATGCTTCTAAGCCTTGTTGCCTATGCCGGCGAGTACAGGATGATGGTAGGCGCCCACAATACTGTTGGATGTCAGATGCACGTGGGAGGTTGCGTCGTCTTGTTCGGGTATGGCAGATGTTGGTACCTGCTGTACTGTTGATGCCCAGAAGCATGTGAGGAGTTTTACTATGTTCACTCGATACGGTAAATGTCGGCGTCCACAATACTATCAATGCCCAGAGGCATGTGGGGGAGCCTTACCGTATGGGAGTTAATGACGCCCACAATACTATAGGGAAAATGTCGGCGCCTACAATACTGTTTGGGCTCTATTGTGCCAAAGAGGTTATAGAGTATTGTTTCTGCAGGTGTACAGGGTACGGTCCCAGGTATCGTGGTCTGACTTGTGCGCCCTGCCTTGCTCTCTCCATTCGTTCTCTAGTCCTTTCGAGCGAACGTCCTCGGTCGGTTGGTCCCAGTCGGCTCTGATCGTGCTAGTCGGAGAAGAGCCGTGAGGAGGGGTCTGGCACATCCCCGGTTGGAGACGTGGGTCGGAGTCGAAAGTAGTGCTTTGGCCAGGCCTTCCGGTCAGAGAGGCTGTCCGGAGGTAGGCTGGAGACCGAAGCGAGTGCTCCAGTCAGAGAGGTAGCCCGGAATTGTAAAGAGGGCGCAGTTCTTCCTGTAGGGTCGAGATGGCGACTACAGGGGGGGTGAATAGTCATTTCTAAAACTTAATCGCGTCGGCTGACCGAAACAAGTGCGGAATTAAAACTATCGGTCTAGCTAAGACTACACCCCTCTATCTATGTTCTCTAACACCTTATAAAGATCCTAATTAAGCAACAAAGGTGCCGGGCTAACTAGAGCTCACCTAACCAATTCCTACACATGCTAGTAAGCAAAAGCACAAAGCCAACTAAGCTCACTAGTAATGCTCAATAACAAGTCAACCAATGCCAAATTAGAGAGCGCAAATACTTAGCTACACAAACTAAGTAAAGTGACTAACAAGGTTACACAAACCAAATTAGCCACGCAAGGGAGCTACTTCTATGCTACACAAGCAAGAAGGTAACTAGTGAGCTACACAAGCTAACTAATTATAAGACCAACTACACAAGCACAATGTATATAAAAGTAATCACAAGCTTGTGTAAGGGGATTGCAAACCAACGGGAAGAACAAGGTTGACACAGTGATTTTCTACTGAGGTTCACATGCTTGCCAACACGCTACGTCTCCGTTGTGTCGACCGCTCACTTGGTGGTTCAGCGGCTAATTGGCATCACCCGCCAAGCCCGCACGTTGGGCACCACAAGAACCTACCCTGAAAGTGAGGGTAGCTCAATGACACGCTCAACTAGAGTTGCTCTTCGCGGCTCCTGAGGGGCGAGCACAATGCCCCTCACAAAGCTCTTCTTCGGAGCACCGCACAAGCTTCTTGCGGGCTTCGACGGAGACCACCACCAAGCCGTCTAGGAGGTGGCAACCTCCAAGAGTAACAAGCACCACTGGCTTACAACTTGATCACCTAGTGCCACTCGATGCAATCTCACAATGCAATGCACTAGAATCACACTCACTCGCAATCGATTCGCACTCTTGCAAGCACAAGTGAGTTAGAGGGCATCCAAGCACTCCTACACAAGCCACATAGGCGTGAGGGTGCTCTACAAGTAGCCACACACTCCTTTTATAGCCCTAAGAGCTAAAATAGCCGTTACCCCTTCACTGGGCAAAGCGCGTACTGACCAAACACGCAGGTCATAATGATCGGGCGTTGGAACCCAGCGTCCGGTCACTTACAGAGAGGTTCCAGCGACGTTTTTCAGCGACCGGACTCTCCCAGCGTCCGGTCGCTTCTGGACACGCTGAAAAAACTGATCGGACGCTGTGACCGGATTTGCAGGTGCTAACCGGACGCTGGGTTCTAGCGTCCGGTCATTTTTCGCGCCAGCATTCGGTCACAGACCTTTCAGCGCTAAAACGACTATAACTCTTAGCTCCGGACTCTGATTTCGATGATCTTGGACATTTTGGAAAGCTTACTCAGAGGGATACACATCCCACATGTATACTTGATCCAAATCACAATGGATCAAAAACATTATTCCAATCCAAAGACCATCCTATAGTTCAGAGTACACCGAAAAACCTTTTTCTCTTCTCTAAGTTGATTCACAACAACTCTAACTTATCCTTTGCAAATGTGCCAACACCACCAAGTGTGCACCACCATGTGTATGTGCGTTAGCTTTTCACAAACATTTTCCAAAGGATTAGCCACTCAACTTGCCACGCCACTCGATCCTAGTGATGATGCAAAGTTAGATCACTCGAGTGGCACTAGATGACAGATATGCAAATAAGTTTGCCCCTCTTGATATTACGGCCATCTATCCTAAACCCGATCATCAACTTCTCTACGCACCTATGACCGGTGAAATGAAATGCCCTAGGTTATACCTTTGCCTTGAGCATTCCATTCCATCTCCTCCAATGTCGATGCAACACATGCACCAACATGATCAACAATGATATGATCCACTTCATATCATCATGTGATCATATTGGTTCATCGATCTTGAATTCACTTGCTTTTCATCGTTGCCTTCGTCCATCGGCGCCAAGTCTTGCTCAAGCTTCACCGCCACGTGGTCCATTGCTCCAAAGCCTTCGACTTGCCCTTCACGCTTGCAACCGGTCCATCAAGCCAAGTCTTGTCTTGATCTTCTCCACCTTGATCACATGACTCAATGTCATGTCTCATGTACAATAAGCTCCTTCATTATCACATGTGTGAGCTTTGCAACATCTCCAAGCCATTTTTACCTTCATGGCATATGTTGCTCACACATATGTACCTGTGGACTAATCACCTGTGTATCTCACATAAACACAATTAGTCCACCTAGGTTGTCACTCAATTACCAAAACCACACAAGGACCTTTCAATCTCTCCCTTTTTGGTAATTGATGACAACTCTACAAAGATATGGAAATTAAGCTCTTTTGGATTCATGTTGCTTGTCCAAGCAATTTTACCATGTGAGAATGATTTTGGACAAGTACCACAAACCCGAGATGGTAGTATTAGCTCCCCCTACATATATGATAGAGTGTTTGGTTTGAAGTTCGCACATATGCATAGATTGGAAATGTGGGAGAATAATTACTACCAAATGATGCTAAGGTGTATAGAGTAAACCTTTGAAGTGTGATACCAATCGGAGTTGCACCTTTAAGTTCATCCTTAGCACCATGGTTAGCTAGATATCACTTGGAAATAAAATCACTAGATACCTTGTGAGATCAACATTAAAACCAAGGTACTAGCATTTCTTGAAAAGCATACCAAGTGTCTAGCTATCATCCTATACATGCTAGTTTTCATTTCATCAATCAAATTCTATAACTAGCATACCTCACACAAGCATGCATATTGAATTTAAGAACTTATGCAATGCAAGCAAGCACATGAATATGCACATATCAAATGCAATCAATCAAAGTTCATGAGCTTGCTCCCCCTATTTGTGTGCTTCTCTTGTCCAAGAATTTTGATACATCTCTTTTCTTCAATGTTGCTCCCTCTTTGTCCATGTCCATGTCCAACCTCTACTTCTTTGTTTCAATCTCTCCCAAAGCTTTCATATCTTATCTCTCCCCCTTGTACAATCTCAATCTTAAAGCTTTCATATCTTTGTACAATCTCTCCCCTTTGTCATCAATTTCCATAAAAGGTGTGCTTCTCATTGATGCAAAAGGTATGCATTTGGGGTAGATGGTTG